CCAACCTTGTGATTCACAGTCGAGTGCTGATCCTATAGTACCAAACCTAAAACTTAGTGCATGATTATTTAGTTCCCTCTTCATTTTTGGTCCCTTGAAATTTACTCTATTTTTCTGAGATCTCAGCTATCCTCTTAAAAGAATACTTGTTATGATTTGGGCCACATTTTTATATGTTTTATTCTCAGGTCTGTGTGGTCTGTCACAATGTCCCACATCTTTTCTTTGCACAGGTTAGAGTACCCTTGATTATGACTCTGCCTTTTTTACACTAATCATGTCTTTCTGAAACTACAATTGTATAATTAACCTTGATTTGACTTGGTTCTTTCTCAATTCTCTTCAATCATGCATTTATAGAGTGTTTCTTAGGAATTCTCCAGATGACTCATCTCATCTTTTATTGGGCCATTTTCTTGTGAAGAAGTAAGGGAGATGGGGGAAGAAGGGACACTAGAACATAAACGGAAACTTTTAACTTCATTCTCTAAGGGATATGTCATTAGATTTGAGGGCACCTCACTCTTTATTTAAAAATATTTAAAAGGATTCAGGTGATATACAAATATTCTCTTTTAAAAATAAAACACATCAAATAAGCTAAAAGTTCCCTTTTAACATTGCCTCTCTGTGGTGGTGGTGGTGTGCTGAGGAGTCGATTCATAGTGACCCTGCCTAGGTTTCCGAGACTGTAAAGCTTTACGGGAGCACAAAGTGCATCTTTCTCCCGAAGAATGGTTGGTAGTTTCGAACTGCTGACCTTGAGGTTAGCAGCCCAACTCATAAGCACTGTGCTACCAGAGCTCCTTTGCCCCTCTCTAGACGTACTTATTATCAGCATTTTGAGTACATCTTTTGCAGTGTCATTTCTATATTGCCATTTCATTCCTCTCTACTATACAAGGGTACTTCAAAAAATGTATGGAAAGGATGGAATAAAAAGATAATACAATTCTTATGTAAACTTTTTTTCCATAAAATTTTTGAAGTTTCCTTATACATAAATTTCTATATTTTCTTTTTTATACAAATGACGTCCGCATTTTAGAGGAACTAAGATGGACCCTGAGGGGAGGAATGTTTAAGCACATTCACTGAAGACAAGCCAATTGAAAGTCATACATTAAAATTGTGCCATGTGCAATATTGGATTCTATTCCATTTAAACAAAAGAGAAAAAAGGAAACCAAGAACTAGGAAGAAACGAGTCCACAGGATTAACAGCTCATGTGAACCATAGTCTCATCTTGCCTGAGACCAGATGTAGATGATGCTCAGCTCCCACTACTATTCAGATCATGGGCACAACAGAAGCTTCCAGATGGACTGGGAGAAAAACATAAAACAAAACTCATAGTCCTAAAAAAATGACCAGACTACCAGACTAATAAAAACTAGAGGCATCACTGAGACTATCACTCTTTGAATTTGAAACTGAAGTCGCTCCTAAAGGTCATCTTTAATTCAAACACTAAGTGGGCTATAAAATAAACATCATCTATCAGCACTGTTGGAGTCCTGGTGTGGCGCTGTGGGTTAATGCGTCAGACTGCAAAGTTGTTTGAACTATAAGGTTGGTGATTCAAGCTCACCAGTTGCTCCTTGGAAACCCTAAACAGGGTCACTATGGGTCAGAATCGACTTGACTGCACTTTACTATGACAACAACAACATCAATACTTGCTTTTTTTAAAGAATCAACTATTTGAAACCAACCACCACTTGATGTACTGTGGTGGCTTGTGTGTTGCTGTGATGCTGGAAGCTATGCCATCAGCATTTTAAATAACAGCAGGGTCACCTATGATGGACAGTTTTTCAGTGGAGCTTCCAGACTAAGACAGACTACAAAGAAGGAGAAGTAGCCTACTTCTGAGTGTTTAGCCACTGAAAACCTTACAAATAGCAGTAAAACATTGTCAGATGTAGTACTAAAAAGTGAAAACATCATGAATATCACCAGAATATTTTCAGATATAGTGCTGGAAGATAAACCTCTCAGGTTGGAAGTCACTCAATATATGACGGGGGAAGAGCTGCCTCCTTAAAGTATCGCTGACCGCTGACCACAATGATGTGAATGGAATAAAGCTTTCAGGACCCTCATTTGCTAATTGGGCACAAATCAAAATGAGGAGAAACAGCTGCAAATAACCAGTAATAATTGAAACATGGAATGTATGAAACATGTTTTTGTTGTTAAGTGCCGTCAAGTCGGTTCTGACTCATAGAGACCCTATACAGGGTTTCCGAGGCTGTAAATCTTTACGGGAGCAGAAAGCCTCATCTTTCTCCCGTGGAGCTGCTGGTAGTTTCTGACTTTACAGTTCACAGCCCGATTCATAACCACTACACTGAAACATGAGTCTAGAAAAATTAGAAGTTGTCAAAAATGAAATAGAACGCAAAAAGATAAAAATCCTAGGCATTTTTTGGTTTGTTGTTGTTAAGTGTCATCAAGTCAGTTTTGGACTTCTTCCAATACAGATCTGTTTGTTCTTTTGGCAGTCCATGGTACTTTAATATTCTCCTCCAACACCATAGTTCAAATGCATCAATTCTTCTACAGTCTTCCTTATTCACTGTCCAACTTTCACAGGCTTATGAGGTTATTGAAAATACCATGGCTTGGGTCAGGAGCACCCTAGTCCTGAAACTGACATCTTCGTTCTTGAACACTTTAAAGAGGTCTTGTGCAGCAGATTTGCCCAATGCAATACGTTGTTTGATTTCTTGACTGCTGCTTCCATGGGTGTTGATGGTTGATCCAAGTAAAATGAAGTCTTTTACAACTTCCTAGACATTAGTGAGCTGAAATGGACTAATATTAAGCATTTTGAACCTGACAATCATATGGCTACTATTCCAGGAATGACAAATTGAAGAGGAATAGCATCATAATCATCTTAAACAGAACGTTTCAAGATTTATCTTACAGTACAATGATGTCTGTGATAGGATACTATCCATAGACCTACAAAGAAGGTCAATTAATATCACTATTATTCATATTTATGCATCAACCACTAAAGCCAGTGATGATGAAATCGAAGAATTCTACCAAATTTTTCAGTCTGAAATTGCTCACACATGCAGTCAAGATGTAATGATAATTACTGGTGATTGTAATTTGAAGGCTGGAAACAAAGAGGAAAGATCAGTAATTGAGAAATATGGGTTTGATGATAGTATATTTCTTCATGTACTTGGCATCAGGATTGGAGGAAGGCTCATTATCAACTTGCCACATACATATAATACAACCTTTCTTGATTGAAGTGCAGAGGACTTACAATATTTACTGATTAAGATAAAAAAAACTGCAACATTTGGTATGGATTGCATCTCAGTGTACAGAAAACAAAAAACCTCACAATGAGACCAAGAAATAACATCATGATAAATGGAGAGAAGATTGAAGCTGTCAAAGACTTCATTTTCCTTGGATCCACAATCAACACTCATGCAAGCAGCAGCCAAGAAATCAAATAAATTATTGCATTAGGGAAATCTGTATAAGAACTCTTTAAAGAGTTCAAGAGCAAAGAAGTTACTTTGAGGACTAAGGTGCGCTTGGCCCAAGCCATGATATTTTCAATGACCTTTTATGCTTGTGAAAGTAGGACAATTAATAAGGAAGACTGTACAAGAATTGATGCATTTGAGTTATGCTGCTTGAGAAGAATATGGAATGTACCATGGACTGCCAGATAAAACAAATCTGTGTTGGAAGAGTACACCCAGAATGATCCTTAGAAACAGGCTGGTGAAACAGGCTCTCATACTTTGGACATACTATCAGGAGGGACGGAGTCCTGGTGTGGCACTGTGGGTTAATGTGCCAGACTGCAAAGCTGTTTGAACTGCGAGGTCGGTGGTTCAAGCTCACCAGCTGCTCCTCGGAAACCCTATACAGGGTCACTAAGGTTCGGAATCAACTGGATAGCACTCAACAACAACAACAACAACATCAGGAAGGCCCAGACCTTAGAGAAGGACATCATGGTTGGTAAAGTGGAGGGTCAGCAAAAAGGAAGAGCCCTAACAAGCTGGATTGGCATAGTGGCAGCGGCAATAGGCTCAGAGTTAACAACTGTAAAGAAGATGCAGGACCTGGCAGTGTTTTGTTCTGTAGTGCATAGGATCGCTGAGTCCGAACGGACTCGAAGGCACCTAATAACAACAACAACATATAAGAGCAAACAGTCACTATTACTATTACCTGAAAGCAAAAATATACGGTAAGGAGGGGCAGGGAAACTAGATTAATGGAAACAGAACAAACAGAACGAAAATAAGGATGCTGACACATTGTGGGAAATGTCATGTCATAGTACAATATGTATACAACTCATTAAATAGGAACCTAATTTGCTGTGTAAACTTTCACCTAAAACACAATATTTTTTTAAAAGTTTATTATCGGTCAAATTCTGTCATGCTGTCTAAGGTTGAAGGGTTCTGGTATGTTACTTTTGCTAGACAGTCTCTTCACAAGGTTAGCTAAAGCAATTAGTTTAGGTGTTGGAGAACATGTCTAAGAGTTGCTTCAGCGCTAATGATACTGTTGTTTAGCAAACCTAGCAGAGGGCTGTGGAGCTGCAAAAAAGAAAAAACTCTGCCATCGGCAGTTGGGTCGGTTCATAAAGCTTGCTTAGTTGAAAAGTGAGGAATGCGCTACCTGTCGACGCCAAAGGTTGTTCCGGGAACCAGGAACTGATAGCGCGTTTATGAGGCTGGCCTTGGAGTTTGGAGGAAGGAGGCACCAGAGGTTGCAAAAAAGGATGCCGCAAGCCGACAGCAACCTAGTAGCCAATCCCGAGAGCCAAGGGAGCGCTCCGGACAGGTTAGGAAGTGCGCATGCGTCTACCGCTCAGTGCCCCGGGAGGGGCGGAGCTAGGGGGCGGTCAATGAGCATGCGCACACCGCGCTGAGAGGTGGGGGAGGGCCGTCCGTGTGTGTCTGTGTTGTTGTTCCGCGGCAGCGGCGGCGGCGGTAAGATGGCTGCTCACGGGGGCTCCGCGGCGTCCTCGGCGCTGAAGGGGTTAATTCAGCAGTTTACCGCCATCACCGGTAAGAGACGCGGTTACCGGAAGGTGGAGAGTGGGGTCCGGAGCGGGCGGCGGGTCTGCCCGGGGCTTCTTACCTTCATACCTTTCTCCCTCGGGCTTTACTCAAAGCTCCCGTCCTCCCTCCTGTGGAAGAGGCGACGACGGCTTTGGGGTCTCCGGGTTCAGGCGGGAGACAGCCCCCATGCTCCCCACATTTTCCTTCAGGATGCCTTTGCCGTGTAGAGGGGAATCCCTCATCCCCAACCAGCCCAGACCTGACTAATAATGGACGAGCCCATCGGTCCCCGCCGGCCCGGAGACCTGGGGGCGGGAGGGATGGGGGGCCGCACCCGGGCCACCGCCCTCCTGCTCTTCCTTCATCTTCTCGTCTCTGTTCAGCTCTGGGGTGGTATTCATCCTCTCACTCCGCTTTCCGTTTCTCCCCGGCCGGGTCATTCTCCCCCTAGTCCTGGCCTGCCCTTCCCCTCTCCGGGCCCCTCGGAGCCATCGCTGTGGCCCTGGCGTGTTCGGGCCCTCCCGCCTTAACGGCAGGGCTCCTGGGTTCGGCAGCGCCTTATAGATCCCGGGAGATCGGTGGCTGCAAAGGGGGGCTGCTGAGAAGTGCCTTACGATACGGGGTTCCAGTAGATGAATGGGGGACCCCTCTCCAAAGCTCAAGTGTGGAATGATCCTGAGTAGTGCTTCCCACCTCCCTATAATAAAATTATAAAGACTGAGACGATGGCGCCTGGGCCTCCCGCTACTAAAATGAGAATGGCGGTAGAAACTTCTCAGAGAGAAAATCTGTTTCTGGGTGTCAGTATCCTTCAAATCGTAGGCCTAGGTTTTTCTTTTCCTTTGAACCCCTGGAAGGGCACACGCAGATTGTCTAACCGCCTGGAGGAAAGGCCCTAAGCCATTCTATGAATTCTCAGGTTTGTTTCTCTCTGGTGGTGCTGAACTTTTTTTGCATGAGTTATTAGAGGGCGGAGCAAATGATGAAGTTCTCTGTGGAGTGATTTGAGAGAAGAGTACTCCATGTGCCAGAGTGTGATTTTGCCGTTCTAGTTTGTCATTTTGAAAGGAGGTCAGAGTGTTAGCTCCCTCCCCTAGCAGAATCTATACATTATCGGATAATTTGTTAGTTGCAGAGAATGTTTTCTCTCTTAATGCTCTTAAGAGTTTGTCGTGGAGGCTCTGGCTAAGTAAAATTTCAACCGTTACAGGTTGGAGGCTAGTTATCGTTTTATAATTACAGCTGGGTTTAGTGTCTCGTCTGCAATTTTTAACTCGATGGTTGATGGCGTTGTTATATACCTTGTGTACATACATATCACGCCAAAGTTGGTAAAGTAAAATTTGTAAATAAAATTGGAGTGGGGAATGGAATGATGATTTTCATCTTAATATTTTAAACTATTATATATATAGTGCATTTTCCATTACCCAGTCAAACTACTGTTATGGGGGAAATTAGAAAATAATTATGAATATATGTTAATATTATTGCAATATGTTTGTGTAGTGAGTTAGATGCAGAGTGGATGTCATTAATAAACCCTTTTTTAGGTCTCCTAGAAGTGATTTCATTTAATGTCATTTATTTAATTTCCATTTCTTGTGATAATAACTTTAGAAACTCATTTTGCGTTAACCTCACATTATGTCTTCTAATGTAACATTTTTCTTAGATATAGACAAAATCCAAAATGGTGAGGTGAACTGACTCACTTAATTGCTTTTATTCTGTTTCTGCCTGCTAGTTTGCACTACTTGCTTCCTGGTCATAGATCTTTCTATTCCTAAATCAAGTTGGATTCTCCCAGTAGACATTGATATCTGAAAGTCTACAAAAGGGAAACAGTCTTTAATTGTTCTTAATGTCTTGTGAATTTTTATTAATAATTTTTTGAGATTATTTGAACAAGGTAGTGATTACCATTAGAAATATATAGTTAAACCCTACCAGCCCTTTTGAAATCAGAGCATAAGCTCTTAAACCTAAACAAAAACCAGGGTCACTATGGGTCAGACTGACTTGATGGCACTTAACAATAACAACACTGCCATTGAGTTGATTCTGTCTTATAGAGACCCTAAAGGACAAAGTAGAACCGTTCCTCAGGGTTTCTGAGACTGTAAATCTTTATAGGATTAGACAGTCTTACCTTTCTCCCAGGGACTCCTCGTGTGGTGTGTGCTGTGGGTTAATGCACCAGACTGCAAAGCCGTTAGCTGCAAGGTTGGTGGTTCAAGCTCACCAGCTGCTCCTTGGAAACCCTATACAGGGTTGCCATGGGTCAGAAATGATTTGATGGCACTTAACAACAACAAACCTTTCTCCCATAGAGTGGCTGGTGGGTTTGTACCACTGACTTTGTGGTTAGCAGCCTATGGCTTATCCCACAGTGCTACCAGGACTTGTATAAGCTCCTTTGTTGCTGTTAAGGGCTGTTGAGTTGGATCTGACTCATAGTGACCTAGGGGTGGTTGTTGTTATAAGTGCCATCAAGTCATTTCCATCACATAGAGACCCTATATAGGGTTTTTGAGAAGCAGCTGGTGAACTTGAACCACTGGCCTTACGGTTCAAACCAACTTTATAGTCCATCGCATTAACCCACAGCACCACACCAGGATTCCATAGAAGGGGATTGGGGTGGGGAACCTTTTTCCTGCCAAAATTTGTAACTTCATTCATGTGCCATACAAAATTATCAACTTAAAAATTAGCCTGCTATATTTGGTCAAAGGAGCTCTGGTAGCATAGTGGTTATGAATCGGGCTACTAATCTCATGGTTAGCAATTAGAAACTCCCAGCTGTTCCATGGGAGAAAGATGAGGCTTATTGCTCCCGTAAATATTTACAGCCTCGGAAACCCTGTACAGGGTCGCTATGAGTTGGAACCGATTCCACGGCACATAACAACAAGAAGGTTGGCAGTTCAAGCTCACCAGTTGCTCCTTGGAAACCCTATTCAGGGTTGCTATGGGTTGGAACTGACTCGATGGCACTTAACAACAACAACAAGCACTTAGCAGCAACAAATGTGTTGATGTGGTGCTGTGGGCTAATGCGTCAGACTGCAAAATCGTGTAAACTGCAAGGTTCGAGCTCACCAGCTCCTCTTTGGAAACCCTATACAGGGTTGCTGTGGATTGGGATCAACCCGATGGATGGTACGTAACAACAACATTGTGATGGCAAGGAGCTCTGATCTGGTAGCGTAGTGGTTACGAGTTATACTACTAATATCAAGGTTAGCTAGTTTGAAACTACCAGCAGTTCCACAGGAGAAAGATGAGGCTTTCTGCTCCTGTGAAGATTTACAGCCTTGGAAACCCTATAAGGGTCACTGTGAGTTGAAACCGATTCCATGGCACACCACCACCTCCACCAATGTGATGGTGCTATGAATTGGAACCGACTAGATGGCTTAACAACATCAAATGTGATGGCTTGAGTCCTGATGTGGTGCAATGGGTTAATGCGCTGGACTGCAAGGTCGGTGGTTCAAGCTCACCAGTTGCTCCTTGGAAACTGTACACAGGATCAGAACTGACTCAACGGCACTTAAAAACAACAATGTGATGGCTGGAGTGCTGGTGTGGTGCTGTGGGTTAATGTGCTGGATTGCAGACTGCAAAGTTGATTTGAACCACAAGATCAGCAGTTCAAGCTCATCAGCCGCTCCTTAGAAACCCTGTACAGGGTAGCTGTGGGTTGGAACTAACTCAATGGCACTTAACAATGTGATAGCTGGAACTGTGGTGTTTGCTTTGGCAGGGCCCGATCAAATGATTTTGTGGGCCTTATGGAGTCCTGGTGTGGCGCTGTAGGGTAATGCATTAGACTTCAAAGTCGTTTGAACTGCCAAGTTGGTGGTTCAAGCTCACCACTTGCTCCTTGGAAATCCTATACAGGGTCTTTATGGGTCAGAATCGACACGATGACACTTAATAACAACAAATATGGCCGCTAGGCTGGATGTACCCCATTCCTACTGTATAGTTTTCAGAGGAGTGGCTGTTGGGTTTGAACTGCTGACCTTGTGGTTAGCAGTTCTGTGCTTATCCTATAGCACCACACCAGAATAGTCTAATCCATTCAGCAATGAATTTTTTTAAAAGTACGTTTTTATTATAAGCACTTATTACAGTTTGAAATGCATGTGAAGAGAGAGAACCCAAGATTTATTTTCACATATCTTTAAAAGTAAATTTTGGGATTATTTCTATTCACATATGTTTTAAACTGTAGTATTTAATGATTTTTCAAAAACTATCTATTTATTAATTGCTGCATGAATTAGACTGGCCTTAAGAGCTATGTTCCAATTTCAAAAAAGTTACCTAGAAGCTCAGTATCCTGATAGAAGCAACTCACCTTCAGAAATGTTGTAAATCTTAACTTTTCTATGAGATTTAGAAATAGAAGAAAAAGTTGAAAGATTTCTTAGTATATCTTAATTTTCACTAAATAGAACAAATTTCTTTTTATACAAATGTAGTATGTGTGCATGAAGTAATGAATCTGACTTTTTAATTGTTAAAAAGGTGATACCATGGTAAACATGAAATGAGTTTGAAAAAAGGGGGAAATTGTCTGTATAATAGAGAAAGTACAATGTTTAGTAGAAGACTATTACATTAACCCAAGAAAGATACTGGTATCTTGAAATAAGTTAATGGCAAAGGAGTGGACTCTAAAAGATAGGGAAGAAGTTGGAGGAGTCAAAATTGAATTTAGAAATTCTATTTTGAGCATATAGTTATATAATTTATAGAGATTAGGGGATATTACAAGAGGAGTCCTGGCGTGGTGCCTTAGGATAAGTACTAGACTGCTAACTGCAAGCTTGGTGGTTCTGACCCAACTCTTTGGAATCCCTATACAGGATTCTATGAGTCGGAACCAGCTCAATGGCATTTAACAACAACATGAGGTTTTGGGGAAAGATGATTAGTTCTACTTTTGGGTAAACTAAGTGGCTATCATTGGGACTTCCAAATGGAGCTGT